TGCATTTTCTGCTGTATTTAATTTTTAAAGATGTGAAATCGTAAAATAGAAATGATCTCTTTTCTATTTCATTTTTTTTTCTTTTCTAGCTCCTTTTCCTTCGTTCTTCCTTTCTCTCTCTCCCTCTCCTTTCCTTTTCTCTCTCCCTCTCTCTCTCCCTTCCTTTTTTCTCTCCTTCTCCCTCCCTCTTCCTCCCTCCTTCCCCCACCCACCCACCCTCACCCTCTCCTCCCACCCCTTCCCCCTTCTCCCTCGTTCTTCCTTTCTCCCTCCCTCTCCCTCTCCTTTCCTTCTCTCTCTCCCTTCCTTTTTTCTCTCCTTCTCCCTCCCTTCCTTTTCTCTCTCCCTCTTCCTCCCTTTTCCTCCCTCCTTCCCCCACCCACCCACCCTCTCCCTCTCCTCCCATCCCTTCCCCCTCTCCCTCTCTTCCCACCCCTTACCCTTCCCTCCCTCCCACCCCTCTCTAACCCCACGCCATTATTCTCACAGGAGATTGCCTCGCCAACATACTACAAACCCCGGTGATAATTGTCGCCAGCATCGTCGTCCCCGTCTTCAGTGTGACGTTCGTGGTCATGGGCGCCATCTTCCTGAAGGACTGCAACATCGAGCCAATGATTCCCGTCTGGCTCCTGGTCCAAGGTCGGTTGCCTGGGCCGTGCTGGGACTCGGTTGTTGTTGCTGTTGTTGTAAATAGTTGTTATTATTGTTTTTGTTATTATTATTATTATTATTATTATTATTTGTTATAATTATTGTTGTAGTTATTATTATTATTATTATTATCATTATTTGTTATTATCATTGTTGTTTGTTGTTGTTACCATTACCCTTTATTATTACTATTATTATCATTATCATCATTATCATCATGATCACTCTTATTATAACTATTACCATTATAATTATCATCATAATCACTCTTGTTATAACTATTACCATTATCACCATCACTGTTATTACCATACTTACAGGAATCATCATGTTATTCGGCATCGGGACCGGCGGAATGGCAACTAGAAGCTACAAGTCGGGGAAGAAAGTCTCGTTGCCGGTCAAACTTGTGAGCTTTGTCGTGTCTCTGGCAACCTTTGCTTGGTTCATCGGAGGTACGTATGGGGAGGGGGTTAGAGAGAGAGGGTAGGGGAGGGTAAGGGTGAAGGGAAGGGGGGAGAGGGTGAAGGGGAGGGGAGCGAGATGGGAGGGTAAGGGTGAAGGTGGGTGAGAGGGGGTGAGATAGGGAGGGAGAGAGACAGACAGACTGAGAGATAGATAGACAGACAGATAGATAGATAGAGAGAGAGAGACTGACAGGCAGAGACAAAGAAAGAAAGAAAGAAAGATAAAGAAAGAGAGAGAGAGAGAACAGAGATGCTCACAATAACTCAACTCAGTGACATATACACCCCCTTTGGAGAGTGAAATGTCCTGCCACTTCTCAACAGATCCTCAGAACACCCACTCGTCGTATATTTATTGTTCTCTCCTTTATCCTGAGGGATGACTAAGTTATTCAGGAAATTCTCAGCAAGTTCATTTTTTTTTCGGTGTAATTTCCGCCGAAACCGAGAGGACAATAATGGTCAGCAGTTAATTAATGTCCCTGTGGCGAAAGGCGTCGTTTGATCTTCGTAGGGATTTGAGAAATAGTTCGAGAGTTGGAAAAATCTGAAAGAGAATTTGTTGGTTATTTTTTTTTTGTTTGTTTGTTTTCTAGTCATGCTGACCAGACTTTACCTTTTTGGCAATTCTATTAGTATTTTTTTTGTTGCACCTAGACCAATGATAACTATTCTTTATTACAAACTCTTAGTCGTTCTAACATTGCACCTAGACCAGTCATAACTATTCTTTATTATGATAAATATTGAAATATTGCACCTAGACCAGTGATAGCTATTCTTTATTTCAAAACTTTGGTCGTTCTAACATGATGAAAAATTGCGCTCCTACAGGTAACGTGTGGGTGTACCGCGCATGGGCCCAAGACCCGGACTACGCTCACTCCTGGTTCGAGAACGGTTGCAACAAGAGCGTTTTTAACATCGCCTTCTACGGGGTCATCGTCCTTGATGCTCTCGGTATCATCTCCTTCATCGTGGGCATCGTGGCGTTCTGTCTCCGAGGATGCAATTTCAGATAAAAAGATGAAAGAGAGACACACATCTTCACGTCTTCTTTCCCCGTCTCCAGTTCCCCAGCTTTGGTGATTCTCCGTGTGTGCGCTGGACTCAACTCATCCTCCTGTATCTAAAACATCAAACCGCTTTTCCTGCCTCTCTTTTCTCTCCCTGCCTCCAGTTCTCCTGCAGGTGGTGTTGGGGTCTGTTACGCTAAATGGTATACCTTTATTTCCCATGATATTTCAGTTTATTTGCATGTATATTCTTAGACTTATTTGGGAGCAAAGGACGGTTATAAAATCATCGATGGTTGATTCTTTTTACCTAGTTAATTTAAGGAATATATTGGCAACCAGAAGCTTCGTTTTTTATGTCATATTGTTTTTAAGTTTCCAAAATGAACGCACTTTAATTGCCTATTGTTTTATGTTAATTGCCAATATTCAGGTTTATATAAAATCTGTCTCAAACCAAAATGTTTTATTTAATCAGTCTTTTAATTACTCATTAAGGCATGAACCAGGATTTTAATTGTTTATTTGTTTATATATTCTATTTATTCATTTTATTTTATTTATTTATTTTTATTTTTATTATTTTTTTTTCCTTTTTGCGGGAGGAGGCCGGTGGTCACGAGCCTAAAACGAATTAAGACCCTTTGATTTAAGACACGGCAACTTCCCATACAGATGATATATTTTTGTGTAATATTCGAGTAATTAATTTCCAAGGAATATTGTTAACATTTTACTTTGTTTCTGCTTAGCATAGCTGTCCTCTGTAATAGTTCGTTTAATGTTCTTCTCCTGTTTTGACAAATGATAATAAAATAAATGCATCTACGTAAGTCTTTCATTTAAACTTTTACGTACAAAATTTTCATCATTTTGGACCAACAGAGATAAGCTAAATCCTCCGTTTACTTCGAAATGGCGGGAATATGCGACTGCCATGGTGTCAACGCTGGTAATGGAGTCTTTTTCAAAACCTGATTTATTTTATATCAATTTACAGGTCAGTTCAGGATAAATTATAAGACTATTTTGCACGCCGTTATTATATATATATATATATATATATATATATATATATATATATATATATATGTGTGTGTGTGTGTGTGTGTGTGTGTGTGTGTGTGTGTGTGTGTGTGTGTGTGTGTGTTAGTGTGTAAATATATATATATATATATATATATATACATATATATATATACACATATACATATACATATACATATACACACATCTATTATAAACATACACACACACACACACACATGTATATATATATATATATATATATATATATATATATATATATATATATATGTATATATATTTATATATGTATATATGTGTGTGTGTGTGTGTGTATGTATGTATATACAAATACATACATATGTGCGTGTGTGTGTATATATGTATATATATTTATATATATATACATACATACATACTTATATATATGTATGTATGTATATATATATAAAATATGTATATAATATATGCATACATATGAATATATGAATAAATATATATATGCATACATATATTATGTATACATATGCATATATGTCTTTACATATACACATATGTGTATATATATATATATATATATATATATATATATATATATATATACAGACACACACATATATACATGTGTGTGTGTGTGCGACCGTGTGTTAGAACAGTCCGAAGTCACATGAAAAAATATTTCTAGGCAGATGTCAGTCTTACTTGAAAGTGAAGAGATCTTAATTTCACCGTCACGTCGAACATCATTTCAGGGATAAAATAAAACCGAGGTGGCCGAAACACATGTAGAATTATAATGTGGTGGTATATATATTAATGTAAATGTCTATATGTACACACACACACACACACACACACACACACACACACACACACACACACACACACACACACACACACACACACACACACACACACACACACACACACACACACACACATATGTATCTGTATGTATGAGCTGCCGCGATAGCTCAGTGGTTAGAGCACTGGACTGCGACCCTCGTGGTCCCGGGTTCAATTCCCCGTCGCGACAGTCGTAAAAATGCCTGCGCTCTGACTGCTACCTCGAGCCTGAGAAAACGACATATCGCCTTGAGAAATCAGACGCAGGTGTCGTAGGGGAAGTCACCGCCGTGGCACAAGTGTTAACGCGCCGAACTTTGGTTGATTAGGAAGGGCATTCAATCAGGCAAAGGTGACACTGCCATATAAACTCTCATTACTGAATTGAGAGAGGCCTATGTCCTGCAGTGAAAAAATGTATATGTATGTGTATATATATATATATATGTGTGTGTGTGTGTGTGTCTGTGTGTGTGTGTGTGCGCGTGTGTGCGTGTGTGTGTGTGCGTGAGTATGTGTTGTCTGTGTCAGCCATGGCTAAGTATAAACCTGTTTGTATTATTAATTTTTGCGTATGTGTCCGTGGGTGTATCTATGTTTTTATGTGTGTATATTGTGCGTGTATGTGTCTTTGTATGTATGTTTGTGTGTGTGAGTGTGCGTGCGTGTGTATGTGTGTGTGTGTGTGTGTGTGTGTGTGTGTGTGTGTGTGTGTGTGTGTGTGTGTGTGTGTGTGTGTGTTTGTATGCGTGTACGTCTGTGTCTCTCTGTTTTAGTTTTATTTGTGTGCACGTGTACGGGTGAACACATCCAACTAATGGCGCACAAGGCAGCTTGGTTTGCTGATGATTTACGACTTGCCTCTAACTGAAAATTGTGCATATATTTATACCTGATAATTTACAATAAATGTGTGCTGAGTTTTGCTATTCATGTGCTTGGATATCGGTATATAAGGCCCAGAGTGGACGTCTGTTCAGTGTGTCTTCGGTTACCACACGAGACGCACGCAGCTCTTCCCCGCGTTCAAAGCAGTGCAGCAAAATGGCTTTGATTTACTTTCTGACGCTGTTCGTGGCCGCTAACGCCGTCCCAGTGAGGCAGAACCAAGGCTGCAATTTCTTCGTCAGTCTTCCCGCTGATGGATCGACCAGTATGCTGCCTCCCTCTTGCAACACATTTGGGTATAGATATTGTACTTACGGGGCGGACTCACCTCCTGGCACCACCATCCAGATGCAGTGCTCCATTAACATAAACTCCGGCTCCTATTTCTCTTTCTTCCCCAGTGGATCCATGACAGGATCTTACATCTACTGGACCGCCGCTCAGGGAGATATCCAGGAAGTCACGGAAAGCAACGCGTTCCTAGTTGTGTTATCTGATTTCTGTGACACTTTTTTCTCCTGCACGCTGAATGTGCTCGATAACGCCTCAGCGACTACAACAGATTCTGCTTCAACAACCTCTGCTGATCCAGCATCAACCCCTGCTAATGAAACACCAACCCCTGCTAGTGAAACACCAACCCCTGCTGGTGAAACACCAACCCCTGCTAATGAAACACCAACCCCTATGACCACACCAGCAACACCCTCCAACAACACCGACTGTGACTGCGGAATCAAAAACGAAGAGCGCGTAGTTGGCGGCCAGGAAGTGAGCGTGAACGAATGGCCGTGGCACGCGGGACTGAGAAGGACATCGGACCAGGCCGTCTTCTGTGGGGCAGCACTTATACACTCTAGATGGTTAGTGACAGCCGCTCACTGCTTGATATATTCGCCGACGGCCATAGTTGCGCTACTGGGTTACCATGACGTGACGCAAGCACAGGCAAGTGCATATGCTATCACTGTAGCCATCGAATCTACAATTCGGCATGAAGCGTACGACGCCGATACAGTAGACAATGATATAGGTCTTGTTCGGCTTGCGACCCCCGTTACCTTCAACCAGGGCATCCGACCGATTTGTCTGCCGGTTTCCTTCGTCAACGAAGATTTCCAGAATGAATCCGGCGTCGTGACAGGCTGGGGCACAACCTCGTTCCTAGGAGAAGTAAGTAACTTGCTGCTGGATGTAGAACTACCGGTTCTTACGACTGCTGAATGCACGGGATTCTACGGAGACCGGATCACGGACAACATGATATGTACATACGAACCAGGGTTCGACGCCTGCCAGGGAGACTCCGGGGGTCCTCTCTCGTGGTTCTCTGGAGGGAACTATTACTTGATCGGCATCGTATCCTGGGGAGAAAACTGCTCGGCGGTCAACTACCCAGGAGTCTATGCCAAAGTCACTAAGTACACCGGTTGGATACAGAACAATGTAGCCGAGGCAATTTGCTCGCCGTAAGAAAGAAAAAAAAAGAAAGGAAAAGAAAAAGATAATAAAAACAACATTATGGCATGATTTGATGTAGTACTAAGCTATTGGCATTTTGTATTCATACCCTATCATTTTGTGAACCTGAAATTTTGTTTTGATTATATAAAATATTCCACTAA